GCGTCTCAGTCGCAGTGGCCTCGGAGACAGCGGCGTTCGTTCGCGGGGCTCGCGTCTGCTAGGGCCGGGCTTGGGCGGCTCCATCCAGAGCCGCCTTGTTTCCCTGATTGGGGGCATCGCGCCCCCCAGTGGGACCATCTCTTCTGCGGCGGAGTTCCCCAGGGCCACGGGGACATTGCGCGCGTCGCCGCGCGGGGACATTCCCGCGGGGCCTTCAGTTTTCACCCGGGAGTTTCTGCCCGGGCTTGCCGCCAAGTGTGAGTTTTCAAACGCGCAGTTCATGATCGGGGGGGGCTTCAATACGCCGCGCGAGACTCTTGCCGACCTTCGCTTCAGCGAGACTCTCGGGGTGCAAGTTAAAGTGTTTGAGCCTCCTCTCAGCGACGAGGGCAGGGCCGGGGTCGTGCATTACTTCGTCGCGGAGTCGCGGGTGGCCATGCGCGCAGTAGCGTCAGTTGGCACTGATCTTGGGCGGCGCGGCCGCCCTCGCTTCCCCGTTCAGACGGGATCGCCGCCAGGCATCCGCCAGTTGCGCGCGACGCAGCCTCCGCCCCGGCCATCTTTCGAGCGCGAACTGCCCGACGAGCCAGGAGAGATCGGCGCGGACCGGTCGTGGACTATTCAGTACAGTGGGGGTTTTCCCTTTCCCCGAGTTCCATGCCCGCGCGGACCCGGAGAAGTCGCGGCCCCACCGTGCATTTGGGCCCATTGCCACGGGGACGTGTTGTGGAAGCCGAAATATGCATCAGGGGCTGCGCCGGGGGCGAAAATGTTCAGCCGGGGGCCCGGGCCAGTGGCCCGTCTGAAATGCGCTCTGCAGCTGCCGAGGGCCTCGAGTTGCGTGGGCGCGATCAGTTTCGCGCAGGGGCGGTCTCAGGGATCCGATTCCTTGGTTCGCAAACGCGCGAGGTCCAAGCCCCAGCGTGTTCTGGCGCGGCCCAGCCTGGCCAAGTCTTTCAAGACCTTGCCGGGCATTGCCCGGCAGCTCGCTCGCCACCCAGACAGCGCGGGGGGAATGTCGGGGCGGGGCAGGGGGCGTGTCGCGAGAGCGGTTGAGCATGAGATGGGCGTTTTCGTTGGCTTCGCAAGAGGGGCCATTGCGGACTCGCCCCAGACGCATCGCGGCAGTCGGAAGGGCCCAGCCAAGGGGGCCAGCAGGGGCCGCGAGTTCTGCGGACAACAACAATGGAAGCCCGGATTTGGCATGGTTTTCGGCTTAGCGCGGGGGGCGGGCGCGCGCCCGCGGCGCGGCGCCAGCGTTGCGCAGCAGCCACTTCCACCCCCGCCAGTTTCGACGGCGCGCGACATCCGTAAATCTGCAACTCTGATCCGGCAAGGCCAGCCGCGAGCTCAGATGGCGCTCGCGCCGGGTACCTGCGTTGCATGTCCGTGCCTTGGGCGATGGGGGCCGCGTATTTGCTGGGTAGCTCGAAGTGTCGTGGGGGGCGTCCGCTTCAGCTTCAATCGGTTATCATGGCTCTTCTTCTATGACGGCGCCAAGGGGAGCCGCGCCGTTGGGATATTTCGCACGGTGCACAGGGTACCCGCGCGTCCTGGATGGAGGACTTTGATGGAGTCTTGGATGGGGCTTCCGTCCGCAAGGGCTTGGATGGAGTCTGTTTGATCGCATGTGTTTTAGCTGCGGACATGGGAGGTCCCGAGTTGATGTTGTTTGGAGATGCAGCGCGCGAAGTTGGGCCTCCAAGTCTGGGGGTGAGTTTGCGGCGGGGCTCTTTTGGGACCTCGCGGCTTTCCATGGGAGGTTCAGCCTGGGGCCGTCTGCAAAAACGTAGCGCGTGCAAAGGTTATGTCGCCCCGAGTTCATGCCGCTTCATCAATCTGCTCACGGGGCGTCCAGGCTCGCGGGGTGCAAGAGAGCAGTCGCGAATGTCATGTTTGCTGTGGGGGGCATAGTAGCAGGCTGCTCAGCGGCGATCGGCCACGTCAGGATCTATGGTTCTCAAGGTTCCCCATGGGCGACATCGCTTAACGCAGCTATTTATTATGGTTTCTGCGCTGACGATTTCGGTGTGATTGCTCTCGGGGCATCTCAGGAAGCGCGTCGCAACTTGGCGAAGGCGGACAAGGTGCTGGGAGAGACGGCCATGGGCGAGCAGGAAGCCACCATGTCGGCCGACAGAAGCTCGCTCGCGGTCCGCGGCGCGGCCCTGGAGCGCCATCTTCGCGCTTGGAGCTCGGAGCGGCGCAGCGCCGAAGTCTGCCGTGAATCCTGGGCGGTCTTTCCTTCAGCCGGCAAGTCAGCGCGCGTCAGCAGGGCCGCTGAGACGGCGCCGAGGGGACCGAGAGCCAAAATCTGACCAGCTAGGCCAGCGCAGCTGGTGAGACTGCGCGGGCCAGGGAGCCCGAAGAATAGAGAGTCGCCCGTGGTAAATTTCAAGCGCGCACGTGCCTCAGCTATCGACCAGATCCCGGGAACGAGCCCGGAGGAAATCAGACGCGCGGAGCTGCCCGCCACCAAGCCGCAAGCTAGAAGGGAAGCGTTCGTTCTCCATGTTCGAGTGTGAGTCTGACATGGGGGCGCCGGTGACAATCGCGCGCTGGACCCGAGAAATTTTGTCGGCATCCTCGGACAGGGCAGGGCGTCGTGGACCCGTGGGGTTCCAGAGCCCAAGCAAGTTTGGGGCGCCCTCGCCCCGCGGGCGGGCTCAGGTATTTGTCAGTTCGAGGGCCTGCCTCGCCTGCTGCGCGCGCCCTCGACAGGGTTGAGATTTCGCTGGCCCGTTCGCCGTGAGCGCGCATGGCGGCGCGGTCATCGGCCTCTACGCCGTTGCACCCAAGTGGCTGGGGCTCTGGTCGAGAGGGGCCAGCGTTGGGACGCGGGATATTCAAATCGCTGTCGCCAGGCCCAGGCGAGGATTCGACCGGGCTGCGTTTCGACGTTGCCAGGGCCCTGCTTGCGTCCAAAAGGCAAGCTTGCAGGCGAGAAGCTGAGCCGGGCCTCGCAGCGCGTTCCAGTTTCAGTTCGAGTCAAGGGCCGCCGGGTCCTTGCGCACATGATACTGCCGTTGCTTCGCAGGTGGGAAAAGCTCACTGTGTCTTGGCGTCTGGCTCCCCCGTGCCTCCCTCTCCGAGGGGCAGTGGGGGCCAGTTGGAGCGCGTCCGTCAGCTCCTGTCAGAACAGTAGGGCGTGTCTGTGACGGATTTGGCCATGCAGGATTTCAGAGATTCAGACAGCGCTTATCAGGGCCTTGGATGAGCTGCCCCTTGGTGTTTTCAGAGGCCTGGTTCGAGCCGTCTGTTCTGCATATTGCCAGACGTTTCTCTTTTGCGGATGCTGGGTTTTTCGTTTGGACGGCAGCCTTGTCTGCGGCGGCCAAGTGTCACCTGGCCCGTTGAGCAAATCGTTGCGCCTTCTGCCCCTGGGAAAAACAAGAGCGCTCCACCCCCAAGATTGCCAAAGGCGCTGCCTTCACCTTGCAATTCACTGCCCCCCTCACTGCTACCTCACGTTTACTTACTCCCACCAATGTTGCATGTAAGTGTACGTGTTTCTGCCACGATAGATGTCACGACATAGCCGCATTGGCCTCTTTGCCGTCGTCGGTCGCCAAACGATGGCCTTCCCACTCATCACCTATTTGGCTGTGCGCTTGATGCATCGCAGCCAGCTCCCATGCAGCACGCAGAGTGCAGCCTCCCGCTGACAATTGCGAACTTTTGGCGTGCAGTGCGGCCCGTCGAATATGTTTTGGATGTGGTTGGTGGAGGTGCAGCCCGAGTGTGTCAACGCTTCCCCACGCAGTCCTTGCATTCCAGGGTTCTTATTCGGCTGTCTTTAGCAGTTCGATGTGTTTGCCGCAGAAGTTCCATGGTACCGCCCCTTTTGGCAGGTGGATCTCTCAAGCTTTCCGCCGCTTCTGGCGGTGTGCGTTGCGAGCGGCAATGCCGCGTTTTCCTGTGGTTTTGCTGCGCTCCTGTTCGCAACGCACACCGCCAGAGGCGGCGGAGAGCTTGAGAGATCCACCGACCAAAAGTTCCATGATGCCGCCCCGTGCTGCCTCGCGGGCGCTCGTGGACGCCCCGTGCGCTGGGTGGCTTCGCCGAGGCTGCGCCGCGCTGCTGCCCGCCGCCCCGTGGACACCCGTGAGGGCGCCACGTGCGCGGGGTGGCGCCGCCGAGGCTGCGCCACCCAGACCCCCTCGAGGTAATGATAAAATCATGGCGGCAGGTTTGTCCGTATTTTCGGCGTATCGAGGCCATGAACGGGCCTCGGGACTGTCAGCAAAACGACTCGGGACGAGACACCGGTCCCGGGGAGTGGGCCGAGACCTCGGGGGTCGACGTGATGAGAACATCATGGCGTCGGGTGTCTGGGCGCACTGCCGCCCGTGCTGCCCCGCCGGAGTCTGTGGACGCCCCGTGCGCGTGGTGGTGTAGCTGAGGTTGCGCCACGTCGCCGCCAGTGCCGCCTCGCGGGCGCTCGTGGGCACCGTGCGCTGGGTGTTTTCGCCGAGGTCGCGCCGCGTCGCCGCCCGTGGCGGTCCGTGGGCGGTCGCGCGCGCCCCGTGCCTCTGGGGTGGTTTCGCCGGCGTCGCGCCACGTGGCCGCCCGTGCCGCCTCGTGGGCAGTCTGTGGGCAGCATGTGCGCCGGGCGGCCTCGCTGAGGTGAAGCCACGTTGCCGTCAGCGTCGCGTTGTGGGTGCCCCGTGGATTGAGTTTTTTGCATCACGCAGCGTGCACCGCGCAGCTTACACGACATAGCTTCTTGCTGACACCGCATCGCGTACACAACATGGTTCACACTCACGTCGTGGCTGACACATCTTAGTTGTCACTTCCAGTTCCAACAATACAAACATAGTACACGACAGAGTGTAAACTCCATAGCTTGAACAGCACAGCACTCAACTGCATAACTCGCACCACATCGTTTTTTAACGACAGCTTGCACCACATAACTCACACCGATCTGCTTTCACGTCCACAATGCAACAATCCCTATGGACGGCTTCCTTGGCTGGCCCACGAGTGAAACCGAGGTCTAGAAAGCGCCAGTGCCGGGCCGACGCGCCCGCCGCGGGCTCCTCAGGCGTCCCCCCATGTCGTGGGCGTCGTCGTCCTCGTCGTCGTCATCGTCGTTGCCGCCGCCACCGCCGTTGACGTCGGCGCTGACGTCGGCGTTGTCGTTTCCGCCGCCGCCGTCGTCGCCGGAGTTGACGTCGACGTCGGCGACGTCGTGATTGTCGTCGTCGCCGCCGCCGTCGTTGTCGCCGTCGTCGTCGTCGTTATCATCGACGCCGCCGTGGCGGGTTTCGAGTTCGAGTCGGGTTGCTCTGTTCCACGTTCGGCCTTTGGGGCCCCTTTCCGGGCCCCGGCCGTCAAAGGACGATCTGGCATGGACAACCGGGCAGGATTGACTCCAGAGGGAGTCTGAAGACCGATCTTTAGCGGGTTCGAGTCGGTCGCAGTCGTCGGTCGTCGGCGCTGCGTCCGTCGTCGTGGGCGTCGGCCCGCCGCCGGCTCATCGGGCGCCCACCGTCGTTGTCGTCGTCGTCGTGCTCACGGTCGTCGTCGACGTTGATGTTGGCGTCAATGTTGTCGCCGCCGTCGCCGTCATCGTCGACGCTGACGTTGGCTCGTTGCTGCCGCCGCGCCGCCGCCCTCGCCGCCGCGTCGTCTTCGTCGCGGACTTTGTGACGTCGGGCCGCCTTTGTTTGTCCCCGTGTCTTCGGCCCCCGGGCGCCTGCTCGGGGCTCTCGAGGAGCTATCAAAGAACGACCTCGGATGAGAAGCTGGACAGGATGTCCTCTGGGAGGGGCCTGAAGACCGACTTCGAGCATGTGTGGGTCGGCGTCGTGGCCGTCCGTCGCGCCCGTCGTCGCTGCCGTCGTCGTCGTCTTGGCGGTCGTCGCGGTTGCTGTGCCGCCGCCGGCTCATAGGATGCCCACGGTCGTCGTCGTCGCGGTCACGGTCGTCGTCGCATGCGTCGTCGTCGTCGTCGCCGCGTCCGGTGTCGTCGTTGTTGTCGTCGCCGCAGTGCCTGCCGCCCGCTCATGAGGGGCCATCTCGGGACCAACTGGGAGGAGATCGGGCAAAGGAGGGAGGCTTCTTACGTAGGGTCCCCACAGGAGGCCCCAATGTGGCCAACATCATACTAGCATGAGTGATTTTGGCAATCTCGCCGAGGCCCCCTTGGGGCGTGTAGGGTGCCTCTGGGGGTACTCCAGGAGCCTCTTGGTGGGTCTCTTGGGAGTCTTTTGGGGGCGGGCCTGGCGGAGGTCGGCCCAGCCCGAGCAGTCTACCGCACGAAGACGGGGCCAGCAGCTCGGGTCGGGATGTTTCGCGGCATCGCGCTTTATTCTACAGTCGCACCGAGGCATGAGATCGAGGTAGGTCGGTTGGGGGAGGGTACCCTAGTGTTCTTCGTGCTTATTGGGTGTTCTTGTGCCTCCAGGGCGGGTACCCTTGGATGTTCTGTTTGTTTTGGCCGACGGAGGGTCTGATGTTCTTGAAGGATGCGCTTCTGGCCTAGATCCGACTGCACGTCCTTAACACCCGCGCGTTGCGAAAACCCTCGACGGACGGTCTTGGGCAATTTTCTGCCCTTGCCGGGCCCTGGGACCGCCACGCAGGAAGCACCGACAGCGGGTCCCGGGGAAGGGGTCCAGACCCTCAGCGGCCCAGACCTCGGGGAGGGGGGGGGGCGCAGTGTTCTGCGGCCTCGAGGCTCTCTTGGCCAGGGTCACGGCGGCTCGCAGCGGCCCCCCACCGCCCAGTCATCGCCGAGGAGGGGCCCGACGTAGCCGACCCCCGCCGAGAGCGGGCGGGCTCGCTGTCGGGGCCCGTCGCCGACCTGTCGGCGAGACCTCGCCGACTCCAGCGCGAGTGTTCTCGGGCCCTGGGCAGGCCCCCGCCTAGTCGTTGCCCCCTCGGCCTGTCGGCCCACGGGCTTGAGGTGGTGGGCCAGTGTTCCACTGGCGCTGCCACAGGTGGGACGGGGGAGAAGGGAGGACGGGGAGGTCCATCTCCTCCTTCCTCCTTCGTCCTCCTCCTCCTCCTCCTCCTCCTTCGTCCTCCTCCTCCTCCTCCTCCTCAACCTCCTCCTCCTCCTCGTCCTCCTCCTCCTCCTCCTCCTCCTCCTCCTCCTCCTCCTCCCTCTCCTACTTATGGCAGTGGTTGTGGAAGATCGGCCCATCATTTGTGGTCCAGAAGGGGGGTGCACCGCTCAGCAGGCCATACAGAAAAAACGTGCTGGCTGCATCGGGCAGGGCTGGCCCCCGGGGGCGAAGGAGTCGGGTGCGGTGCTGACCATCTCGGGGGCGTTCAAGAAGGGGGAATCTCATGGGGGGGTCTCATGACTGGGGCCATGGTACCTCACCGTCTGTCGTGGCCGCCTCTTCTCATGTCAACATACGTCCCTTGGCCCCCCCCTGGGCCGCGCACGTGCCTCGGGTTCTGATTTGCGAACCTCCCACTCGGACGCTCCCCTCCTGGACGCCCCCGACTCTCCGCCCCCCGGAGCTCTCGCGCCAGGCCGACCCCCTCGTTGGGCCTCGGGGGCCGTGGTGGGCCGAGATTTTCGGGGGGGGGGGGGCTCCTGGGCCGTCTTCGACGCGCTCTTTGCACCGAAACGGCGAGCATGCGTGCAGTGCTCGGGATTTGTTAGGGCGGACCCTTCTTGTGGGCAGTGGCTCTTCGCGGGGGACGTCTGCCCGAGCTGGCCTTCTCGCGCGAGAAGAGCGTCCGTGAGCTTCGGTGCCCTCCCATAGGGCGACCCTGTCTGGACCTCTCGCTGTTGCGAGTACACTGGAGGGGGGGGGCGCCTCTCTCTCGCCAGTCCGCCAAGGAAACAGGTCCCGAGGGAAGCGGGTCCCGAGGCTTCTCGCGGCGCCCGGGCCCCAGGCTCCGAGGGCCCTCTCCCGGACCCAGACCCCCTCGAGTAATGAAAAAATCATGGCGGGAGGTTTTTCCTAATTTTCGGCCTCCGGGGGCCCTCACCGGGCCTCGGGAGCCTCAAGAAACGACTCGGGATGCAACGCCGGTCATGGGGAAAGGGTCAGGACCTCTGGGGGTCGACGTAATGAAAAAATCATTACGTCGGGGGTCTGGGATTACGGCCAGACCCCCGGACCCCATGCCTCTGCGTCGTTTTGCGAGCAGGATCGATCTGTGCGGGTCCTTGGGCCCGACTTGGGGCGAGGACGTCTGGCTCGAAGAAACCCAGACGTCCGGCTGCTTCAACTTTTTTGGTGCGCGGACCCAGGAGGTCTGGACCACTTCCCTGGGACCGGTTTTTCGTCCTGAGTCGTTTTTGACGCTCCCGAGGCCCGGCGAGGGCCCCCGGAGGCCGAAAACTGGCAAAAACCGCCCGCTCCAATTTTTTGGGAGCGTCGGATCTCAGGGAACGGAGTCGCCAGGATCTCGGGGGATTCGCCCAGGAGTTGCCTCCCGAGGGTGCCCGGCGGCCAGGCGGCGCAGCCCCCGGCCTCGAGCGGCGCGCCCGAGGCGCCAGGGTGGGCCGGCGGCCGCGGCGAGGCCGCCGACGGGGGCGTCTCCGCGCACTCGCAGCAGGAGGCCCGGGCTCGGCCGAAGCCCTGAGATCCGGGCGGCGCCATGTGCTTTCGAGCCGGACGTTCTCGCCCTGCTTCCCTGACCTTCCAGGAGGGCTAAACAATAGCACCCGACGTAAAAACCCATCCCAGAGCTATGTTACGTCTTGGTTTTGGGCTGTTTCGTCTTGTTTTTTAGGTTTTTTGGTTTCCAGTGCTAAAGAATAGCTCTCTGGAAGGTCAGGGTTCGGGCCCCAGGGCCCTCGCAGGTCGATCCGGCTCGAGACATGGTGCAGAGAGATGGGGTCCAGGGGTCTGGTCGTGACTTTTTTGGCGATGCTGCAACTCGTTTGGCAGCGTCGGATGCCAGGGGAAGTCCGCGGGCGACTGCTGTGCAGCGTGCCGCGCTGGCGTCTCCCGCGGCGTCTTCGAGCCTCGGCGCCCAGAGTTCAGGCAGTGGCGAAGCGTCCGGGTTCGCCTATAGGCCCACCAGAGAATGTTCTGAGAACCTTTTTCTGGTTTGCACGAACTGTCGTTAGAACATTTCTGGCCGAGTTCGTTGTGTTTTAATTCATCGGGCTTATGTTCTAAGAACGCTGTCTTGTTTTTAGAACATTTCTGGGTTCTGAAAACATGTCGTGGTAGGCCGATAGGAATGCCAGGACGGTCGGTCCCTGCTCAAATAATGGCGCGGTAGGTTTTTGTTCGTCGTGTCGACCGGTGGCGACTCCACCGCTGGCCTGCAACGTGGAACGCCGGCGGCGGCCCAGAATCGGTCAACGTTGAACGGCTGACATTTGGGAAGCGGCCGATCGTTCAAGGTTGAACGATCCCTGCGGTGCCAGGAACCAACGCTGGGGTCGACACGACACGACCTGCGGTACAGTGCACAGTTCTTCGACCATTGAAGTGAAAACTATGCACCGTACCGCTCTGGAGCGGGGCCTGAGGGGAGTCCAGATATGGTACGGTGCACAAAGCGTTGTCGTGGCAGTCCCTTGGACTGATCTCGTGCTTTCTTCGTCTTCGTTTTGCTTTCGTTCTGTGGCCCACCATTGGCTGATCACGACTTTGGGCTTGCTCCAGATGGCTGCTTCGGGCAACCGGTCGGACTGCTGTCGTTTGGCAACCATCAAAACGGGAACGAAGCAACAACGAAACATGCTGGTTTGGCCGACCCCTTCAGGAGACCTGCGCACTGGACGAGGACCTGGAGGAGCTGCGCCGGGTGCGGGACGACCTGAGGGAGCAGTGCAACAGGAAGTGGGAGGAGAAGCGCGATGCGGACGACACCCTAAAGAGATTACAGGTCCAGGGCAACGTTAGGGGGGGGGATGGGCTCCGGGGGGGGGACGTGTCGATCCCCAACCGCCCCATCACCGCCCCGGGGGCGCCTGATAGTCCACCCCGGCCAGGACCGTGCGGTTTCGCAATCGGGGGCCTGTCACCGATCTATCGGCAGTGCATCGCCGCTTCCAGGTCGATGTCTCCCCTCCTGAGCTGGTCCCCCCCTAACTGTCAGGAGCGAAAAAAACGACGTACATGTACATGAATCTGCGCTGGTTTCGAGAGTTCGCATTGCGCAAATGGTCGTATCACGCGGCCGGTCTCGCGGATCGAGGGGCCGTGTTCATGTACATAGCTGGGCGCGTACGTCCTTCCCAGACCCCCGACGTCATGATTTTTTCATGACGTCGACCCCCCGAGGTCTCGACCCATTCCCCGGGACCGGTTTTTCGTCCTGAGTCGTTTTTTGACGGTCCCGAGGGCCGGTGAGGGCCCCCAAAGGCCAAAAATTGTGAAAAACCTCCCGTCGTGATTTTTTCATTACTCGAGGGGGTCTGGGTTTGTGGGCTCCCCAAACTGTTGCCTCTCAACAGGGGGTGCTGGTCAGAACGCTCGAGGAGCCGAAGGAGAAGCACGCCACCCAGCTCCGCGCGGAGTTCTGGGATCGACGCCGGGCCCCCCCCCCCGCCCGGGCGGCGCCTCGGGCGCCGCCCCTGGCGCGCTCCACGCGCCAGGTAATGCGGGATGACGATTAATAAAAAAATGGGGGAGGAGGAGGAGGAGGAGGAGGAGGAGGAGGAGGAGGAGGAGGAGGAGGAGCTCCTCCTCCCCCCGTGGCACCTGCCGCGGGGGACGATTTAAAAAATAGTTTTCTGCAATGTCTGCAGAATTTTCTGACTGGAGAAGAACGATTCGAGAAACTAGTTTTCCAACCCGCGGCCGGTGTTTTCTAATCGTCATCCCGGGCGCCGCCGCGTGAACACGACCCCCGGTCATTTATTCATCGTCATCCTCCATTAGGGGGGTCCAGCCCCGATCCACGAAATCCGCGCAGAACAGAGAAATGTCGTTTTTGTTGATGCTCTTAGAGGAAGTAACCAGTCGCGAGACGGAGATCCAGAAGCTGGTTACCGACCAGGAGGCGGCGTTGGAAAGCTTCGAGAAGGCGAAGGCCGAGATGGCTTTCCTCCAGACAGAGGGCCAGGACCCGAAAGGCGGGCCAAGCGCTGCAGAAGTCGAGGAGTTCATCCGCGCCAACGAGGTAGACATCGCTGCTGCTTCGCAGCTCAGGGAAAGCACACCACGAGTGCAGCGGGTGGTGCTCAACCGTGGGTCGTTCAAAAACGTGCTGAACAACTCGTCGGCGCTCCTAGCACGAATCAGGGACGCTCGCCAAGGGAACCCAGACGGGGGCGCCGATGGCATGCTCTCCCGGTGCGCGATGGCCAGTGCCACGGCGGACTTGGAGAGGGTGCGCCAGCAGATGGCGCTGTCCGAGCCGAAGCTGAGGCCAGAGGGCGTCAACGACCCCCCTGCGCCAATCCCGGCATGGCCCATTCCTGGGCCGAGGGCCAGCGGAGGCGCACCCCTCCCTCGCCGAGCCGGGAGGGCGTGCACGCCGATCCTCGGCCCCCAGGCCTCCGGCCTCGTGTTTCCCGGCGGCGCCGGGTGCAACTCCGTGCCCTCCAGACTGGACTGGATTGAACTGGACTCGCCGGACTGGGGGGGGCACTTCTGACAACACATGTCAGCCCGCCCGCGGAACCGCGACCGCAACCAGGCGACAAATTTCACCCCGACCGCGGGGCGCAACCGCAACCGCAACCGGGCGACACGTTTCAACCCTCCAGCGGGGCGCAACTGCAACCGCAACCAGGCGACGCATATCAACCCGCCCGCGGGCGCGTGCAACCGCAACCGCAAACAGGCAAAACATTTCAACCCGCCTGCGGGCGCGCGCACCCGCAACCGCAACCCGCCCGCGGGCACGCGCACCCGCAACCGCAACCAGGCGACACATTTCAACCCGCCCGCGGGAGCGCGTACCCGCCATCGCAACCGCAACCAACGCAACCAGGCGACGCATTTCAACCCGCCCCCTGTCGCGCGCAACCGCAACCACAACAGCAATCAGGCGACACATTTCAACCCGCCCGCGGGCGCGCGCAACCGCAACCTCAACCGCAACCAACGCAACCGGGCGACGCATTTGAACCCGCCCGCGGGCGCGCGCAACCGCAACCACAATCGCAACCAGGCGACACATCTGAACCCGCCCGCGGGCGCGCGCAACCGCAACCGCAACCGCACCCAGGCGACACATTTCAGCCCTCCCGCGGGCGCGCGCAACCGCAACCGCCACCGGAATCTCAAACGGGGGTCGATTGCGCAGCCGCTCGCTGGGGGAGGGAGGCTGGCGGGCAGAAGTCCAAAGGGGGCATCGATTGCGCTGGCACTCGCGCGTGAGCTGCCCATGGAAGGTGGCGCGTAAGCGCCCCGTGGTTCACGCGGCCTGCCATGCGAGCGGCTCGAGTGGGCTTCTGCACGGGGTCACCGTGTCCTCGCCTGCACGTGTTCTTCCCTGTTGCTGTTGCTGCTCCTGCTGCTGTTTTGCTCCTGCTGCTTCTGCTTCCCTGCCGTTGCTTCTGCACCTCCTCTGGTGCTCCTGCTGCTGCTTCTCTGCCCCGCTTCCCTCTCCCCTTTTGCTCTCTTGCTCCACCTTTAGCCACAGGGCTATTTCTTTCGGCTGGTAAAACATGTGTGCATGTTTTCTTTTCTTTGGCCGCGCACTCGCGGTCCTTCTGAAGGGGGTCGATTGCGCAGCCGCTCGCGCGCGAGCCGCCCGCGGAAGGTGGGGGCGTCGGCGCGCCCTCTTGTTCACGCGGTCTGCCGTGCGAGCGGCTTGCGTGAATCACCGCGTAAGACGGGCAGGATGGCCTGAAGGAGGATAAGGAGGAGGAGGAGGAAGATGCTGGGGAGGGGGATGCGGGGGTGGACGTGCATTCGAAGGTGCAGGAGCATTCGCCAGTGGTGGACGAAAAGCACTGGCAGCAGTTGAACGACAGCAAGACAGGGCCTGGAGTGAGAGGGGGACGCCGAGGAGGAGGAGGAGGAGGAAGGCACATTGGAAGCGGGGGTTGGGCGAGGTAGTGGCGGAACAGCATCGGCAAGATGGAAAGGAGGAGGCGGAGGAGGAGGAGGAGTAGGAAGAGGATATGGACGTGGAGGTGCAGGTCTTGCTCGCGGCGGTCGGGCGCTGCCCGCGGATCACCGCCGTGACACTGCAGCGGGGAAACCCCGATCCACGCCGCTGCCTTCGATTGTTGTTTTTGTTGTTTTTGTTGCAGCGGGGCCCCTGCAGATGTCTGGATCCATTCCCGGCGACCTGGTTTGCACCCCGAGGCACTATTGTTACAGCCCCGGGTCCGAGCTAGGGCTCCAGAGACAAAACATGTGAGCGACGCAGAAAAACGGGATCGTCTTCACCGACATTGTCGCGTAAGTGTCTCGCGTAAGGTCGCGCGTGAGCGCCTTCGTCTCCAATTTGGCGTGCCGTGCTGGCGGCCCACGTAGGCAACCGCGTCAGGTCGCTACGCCATCTCGCGCAAAACCTGCGTTGTTTTTCTCCGCCGCAGGGCGTGTGCCGCCGCGCCGCTTGTCCCGACGCGCGGCCTTACGTTTTGGGGAGGGCGCTTCGGGCACCAGGGCAAACGCCGCCTCGGGCGCAGGACTCGCCCTGGATTTGCCGCGGTGACGGCGTTGCCTTAGACAACGCCGTCGCCGCGGCAAACCCAGGCGCCCAGGTAGATGACTTGAGCGCGCTCAGAACAAACGCGGTGGCGAGCCCGGGGGAGAAGTGAGAAGGGGCGGGCCTTCTCAGCAGGTTCGGGAAGCCCCCTGGCCTTCGGAGAAGTTTCCGGGCGCTCCCCCGAAGACGGAGACGACCGCTCGGAAGGCGCGATGGCTCCCGAGAAGCTCCGCCGCTTGCTGCCGAGACGGCCTTGCCCCTCTCACTGCCCCTTCGCCCGCCGCCGACGGGCGGCGCGGCGACATCAGGTGCAGCAGTAAGTCCGGCCTGTCCCTCTAGAGGAGGAATATTCAACAACTGTCCAAACATAGTCCAGGGATAATGTGTTAGCATGTATCCTTTTTTGTTTGAATATGTGTTGACTATTTTTTATTTGGTCCAGAACCCCCTGTCATATCAGTTTGTGATTAACAAAAGGCCTCCCCCCCTCTTGGGCTGATGAATAGACCCCGCCGGGCGCGATCCTTTTTTTTAATCACGCGCGCCAGGCGGAAGGAGGAGAGAGGAGGGCGACAGGGAAGAACAGGAGGAGAAGGAGGAGGACGAGGAAGAGGAGGAGGAGAGGGAGGACGAGGAAGAGGGGGACGTGCCCGACTGAAGCGCACCAACCGCCCGTCGCCGCTCCCAGCGCACGGCGCGAGGGCGCCGCGGCAGGGAGCGGGGGCCCGACGCCAGGGCCCTCCTCGGTGTGGCCGCGTGCCGCCCCCCCCCGCCCCCCCCCCGCCGAGGGAGAAGGAGCGGCTGCTCTCGCACGTGTCGGCCCGAGAGGAGCGGCGGACCTCCGCCAGGGGAGGGGGGGCCCTCCCCCTCCTCCTCCTCCTCCTCCTCCTCCTCCTCCTCCTCCTCCTCCTCCTCCTCTCCCTCCCCCTCCTCCCCCCCCTCCCCTCCTCCTCCTCCTCCTCCTCCTCCTCCCCGCCTCCTCCTTCCTCCTCCGAGCCTGGGGCACGGAATCGGCGCGGCCTTTGGACCCCACCCTACCGTGATTGGCGGGGTCGCACAAAAACATACTATTGCATAAGCCTACGGGTCCTCCCCGGCCTGCGGGCCCCTCCCCTGGCCTGCGGGCCCCTCCCTGGCCTGCGGGCCCCTCCCCGGCCTGCGGGCCCCTCCCCGGCCTGCGGGCCCCTCCCCGGCCTGCGGGCCCCTCCCCGGCCTGCGGGCCCCTCCCTCCCTCCCCCTCGTCGTCCTTCTCCGCCTCTTCGTCGCCGTCGTCGTCGTCGTCGTCGTCCTCCTCCTCCTCCTCCTCCTCTTCTTTCTTCTCTTCCTCCTCCTCCGCCCGGCCCTCCCTCTTCTCCGTCTTCTTCCTCTCCGTACTCCAGCCTGCTGCTCTCCAGGGCCAGGTCCTGCGGGACAACGCCCCCGCCCCGGAGCCGCGGGGATATAGGCCCTGCGGGGTGTTTCCACCCGGCCCGGGATGGACGCTACCCTGCGGGGTATAACCACCTACCGAATGCTCAACCGAATGCTCCTCCTCCTCCTCCTCCTCCTCCTCCTCCTCCTCCTCCTCCTCCTCCTCCTCCTCCTCCTCCTCCTCGTCCTCCTCCTCGTCCTCCTCCTCGTCCTCCTCCTCCTTCTCCTCCTTCTCCTTCTCCTTCTCCTCCTCCAATTCCTCCTCCTCTTCCTCCCCTCC